AATACACAAAAATCACAATAATGTTCCGAAAATTGCTACGACCTCATTGACACTCCATCTCCCTTGCTGAATTCCCCGATTAGTGGTTACGCATTTTAAAAAACAATTCCGAACATTAACGGGAGATGCTTGTTGAAGTAGGTTATTGAAGTTAAAGTGAACAACATATATACTTAGGGTTAAGAGGAAAGTGAGTTATGTAAATCATTTTTGAATTTTTAATTGCGAAATGGATGATCTATGGGTTCCCCTCGTTTTATAACGTCACACGGAGGCCGGAGTATTTTTCGGGGCATTTTTAGGATTTTTCTACTATTTATTGCATTTTTTCAAAGATTTTTGCACAAAAAAAGCCAAAATAATTGCCACATGGACACCTGGCGCGATCTCAGCCCCTCACCTTTCACCCCTTGACAAGTGTGCATCAGTCAACATGGCCACATCCTTACCTTTTACCCTAAATTATTATTTTATGACTTTTTCTTAGAAAATTCATAACTAAATACACAAAAATCACAATAATGTTCCGAAAATTGCTACAACCTCATTCACACTTCATCTTCCTCCTCAATTCCCTGTTTCATGGTTACGCTACATTAGTATTTTATTATTATTTATCCAAAATTATTTTTATTATTATTGTTATATTACTTGTTAGCTTGTACATTTGTTAATTATATTTACTCCAAATTTGTAATTTTATTTTTATTTTCCGTGTGAATAGACCATTTCTGGTGCTAATCAGTTTCTCTCTTCTTCAATTTGTTAATGTTTTTTCTTTTTTAGGTGTAAGGGATGTTTTCAAACATAAAATGGAAATATACAAGCCATCCATTCTACAACATCAGGAAATAATTATTCAAAGTCTTTAACTGTTCAAGTTTTGCTTAAGAAACGTGTAACCCAATAATTTGGGATATGCTAAGTGGGAAAATGTCATTCCCAAGAACCGGTGAAAAGACACATACTCACTTCATGCATGCGTTTTCGTTTACCAAATATTAAGATTGCAGTTGTGCAAAATATCTGTGTCAGTAAAATGTCATTCTTAGCCGTCAATTATGTCAGTAATAATTCCACTATATAGCAAATATGATACATTTATATATAAAACGGGCTAGGACAGCACAAACACCAGACAAAATAGATTAAAACATGAAATAGAAAACAACATGTGTAGAACATAGACACGCATAAAAACCGTAGAAACATACTCCAACTAATTATAAGGGTATGGATTCCCTGGCACAACATAGACACGCATCACCTTGAACCAAAAAACACTCTCACGGTGCCATTTGCATCGATTGCAACAAGTCCAGAAGGCAGGATTGATCTTTTCTTCACTAGGCCAGCCTGGAATAACAAAACACCAGTCGTTGTTGTTACAAGCGCTGCACTGATTGAACTTAATCTTCCCATAGTGAAACATATCTACGATATGTCTTCCAACAGAGAAAATTCCGCTTAATCGTCGTCTCAAAGCATCCCTGGTTCCTTTCATATCAATGTTGTTACGTTGATTCAAAGAACACAAGAATTCCAATGCATCCTCTTTTGACTGACCAATTCCGGACATGCCAAGTAGTCCAACTAGATATGACGCTTCCATATGGCCTGCCGTGGCTGCAACGCGCATCCCAGACAATGCTTCCACATTACCCTGCCTGAAAAACATGTCGAACGCTTCTCTAAATATCGCCTCAGGGTTCTGGCAAGCCCTGCATTGGTCCACGAAATGCCGGACCTGCGCTGCGGCATAGTACCAGTTAGGATGGTCTCGGTACTTTTCCATTGAAATTGTGTTCCACACTTGTGGAGTGTTTGCCAACGTATTGAACAATCGGCACACACATGCCATACGAAAGAGATCTTCCGATGAGTTGGTTGCCACGTATAACATCACTTTAAACCAAGCTAATTCCGGGATGAAGGCTTGAGGCACATCCGGATCGCGATGCTTCCTTCTCTTTCCTCCGACTGTAGTGTAATGTTTGGAATTCATTGAAATATTTTTGGAATGGAACGATTTGAGGACTGCAAGAGGGGAGAAATGAGAATATACGGGGTTTTGGGTTTGTTTTAGCCTCTGGTTGCACTGTTCTGAAAAGGTGTTTCCTTGGGGTTTTACCAAGTTGACACTTTTTAAAGAAACTGAACTCAACACCCAAAACATAAGACAGGCGAAGGGAAAACGTCATCAAAATGCAAAGGGAGTCAGACCGTCCAAAAGTCAATTAATAACCTATTTCCATAGCCATTGTTAGGCTTTTCCCGCCATTAAATTCATTGATACAAATGTGATGGATTACTGACTAGTGACAGAAGGTCCCATCAGATACTTTTTCATTTTCCCACACCACACTACCCCTATTAAATGCCGGATTCTTATCCAACTAGTTGCCTTAATGCAATATAAAGAAAATAATATATTTAAAGCAGTGTCCCCTCAATTGTAAGATTAATTATTGTTTGTGAAATAGTATATCGCTTATCGGAGTAAAATGTGTCACAATTCTGACGGTACAGGTGTCCAGATCGTGACCAACCCACCCACACACAGAAAAGAAGGATATAATTCGATTTGGGCAGAGATGAGAGAGAGCTGAGTGAGAAGTTTAGGGTTATGACTTATGAGTGAAGGGGTATAACTCAGAAGGTATGAGTCCGAAGAGGTTTTAGTGAGAAGATCTGAGTGAGAAGAGGTACAAGTGATAAGATTCAACATGTCTTCGTCTTCATCTCCCGCTCAAACAAAGAGGTGTCAGTATTGTGGAGCTGCAATGGTGCTTCGGGTTTCAAAATCAGATAAAAATCGCGGGAAGGCATTTTGGAAGTGTCTAACCTCCTATGTAAGTTCTCATTTCCAGAATATGTATGTGGGTGAAAAAAAATCCTAGGTCTAACTCTGACAGAATTATTTTGCATATATGATGCCTGCAATTAGGGAGCCACCAGCTGCAATGGATTCGAATGGGTTGATGTAACCTCCGCTGAAGCAGATCAGCAAGCTGACACGTATGATGCTACAGTGCTTAATATGCTGAAGTCCATTAAGGACTTGGTATTAGTTTTATTAGTTGTATCAATTGTCATATTATTTGTTCTTTTAATGACCAATTAAGTGCACGGTTTGAAGGATTGTAAAAGTTCTCCCCAAAAACACATGTTGCACGCACCACCAATGACTTTTCAAACCCAATTTGTAATTTTTGTTATTGAAATAGGTGGATTAGCATTGAGTTTAAATTATTGTTTGAAACAAAAGCATTTACTTGTCAGAAACCCAGTAAAAACTTTCCTACAGTTACTTTACAAAAATAAAGTCAGACGAAGACGATAAAATGACAATACAGGGCCAATACGATGCAATAATAAGACAATACCTTTTTTTAAGATTGCATAATTATTCAGTGTATATAGATTGTTTATTGATTGTTTACTGCATGTAAATCGCATGATATTGACTGTTTATTGAAGGTTCATTAACTGCATGTATTTCGCATGTTATTACTCCGATATTGAGTGTTTATTGAAGGTTTATTGATTGTTTACATGTTTCGTGAAGGTTTCATGATTGTTAACTGCATGTATTTCACATGTTATTGAACCGATATTGAAGGTTTATTGAAAGTTGATTGAGTGTTTACTGCATGTATATCGCATGTTATTGCTCCAATATTGCAAGTTTATTGGGGGCAAAAGTAGGACTCCAGTTAGATTTAAGGGGGGAAACGGTCCTTATTCTTTGTTTTCGTAGGAAGAACAACTTAAGTAGAATTTCCTATTCAATACGACTTCCTTATGGTTGATGTAATTGGGGACTGATGTATATTGCATGTCTATTGCGTGTATATTTCATATCTATTGCGTGTATATTGCTTGTCTGTTGCCTGTGTATTGTTATTTATTTCCGTCGTAAGCAATACAAATCAATACAGACGCAATAAATGTAAAGATATGCACGCAATAGACAAGCAATATAGACCCAACAGACATGCAATATAGACGCACCAATATACATTACTGTTATGTTACTCAGCTGCCCAAAACCAATAAAATAAAGAAAATCAACCAATTTATTAACCGATTATAAAGGAGAGAGGGATTCAAACCCGAGGGGCAGTGCGGAACCAATAGGGAGTTTTTAGAGCATTGCACCTGGGGACAATTTTTCATGTGTTTCTATAAGGAGGGCATGGTTGAATAAAATATTGGAGGCGAGGCCATAGCAGCCTATTCCCCTTACAGAATTACCTTAAGATGCAACCCATTGCGATTAAGTCAAGGCATGTTCAACGGCTTAAAGATTGGGATCTGATATTTGGAATGGTGGCTTGGATAAATGATGACATATCACTTTGCAATGATGTAATACACTTAAAAAGCCATCAGTCCGTATGTGAATATGCATTCTTCAAATCCAAATTCACATATGCAGTCTTCAAATCCCAATTCAATGCAGTTTGGTTGAGGTTAGGTAAATGTCGTGAAGGAGTTAGGCCAATATTACACCGATGTTTGTTTCATTACATCAAAAAAAACTTTACACTCCATATGCACATTCTATGTATGGGAATGGCATGTGTCTAACTTCAAAAACGCATCTGCCTATCCATTTAGATTGCCCACGTGCAATAGATTTACAGATCCAGTTACTTTTCTCCTCTCCAACCCTCAGCATCTCCATTTCAGAGTCTTCATTTTTCTATGCTCTGCAACCAGCTCCATATACATTTTGCACAATATGAGAATACACATAGCGTAATATCACACTAATCAAAATGAAAGCATGCATCCGCTATAATATTTGCCACTATTTTGGTTCTAATTGTTATTGTCCAGTAACTTAAATCTAAATTTCTGTACACAAATACACTAAGATTGAGAAAGACGAAGAAGAATTCAGGAGCAGAGGTGGAATTCGAAAAGGACCCATGGGTCTCTATTGTGTATTTACATGACTTTGAAATTTGACATTCCCAAAACCTATTTCATCATCATGTGCCTAAACCAAGTTCAACCGATATCATGGCATGTAAGCATCTCCCCGTGCAATTTCTGCAGCCAACTTCAACCGAAAAAAATGGCATGTTCTGCGAGGTGCAAGTAGCTAAGGAAATCTCAGCACTCAACAGCTCAATGTACTTCAACACGAACATACCACAATCGCCTCTGAAGCAAAACAAGAACTCGATCAATTCAACTAATGACATTCTAACATAATTGACAAATTAAAGTAATAAAATTAAATAAAAAGTTGTGCTCACTGATTAGCCTGTTGTGGAACATCCACACGATGTATTGGCCATGGACACCACCAATCTCGGGTGCACTCGTTCGCGTAAACACCTTCTTCATAAAAGTCGAGGGTGTGCAGAAGATTTGGAATCGTAATTGACAGGGGGCCGAGTTCTTCCTTTAAGCTCTGATCTGGAATGAGTGAAACCATTGAATCGTAGACTTTGATTTCACACTGAATCAGATCAATCTCTAGAGCCACCCAATGCTTATATTTTTGCAACATACAAGGTACATACACCTTATACGTGTTCTGCCAATCCAATCCACAAGCCGGAACCTTGCCATTTACAACGTTCACTAAAACTGGTTCCCCAAAAAAAAAAAAAAAAAAAAAAAAAAAAAAAAAAAAAAAAAAAAAAAAAAAAAAAAAAAAAAAAAAAAAAAAAAAAAAAAAAAAAAAAAAAAAAAAAAAAAAAAAAAAAAAAAAAAAAAAAAAAAAAAAAAAAAAAAAAAAAAAAAAAAAAAAAAAAAAAAAAAAAAAAAAAAAAAAAAAAAAAAAAAAAAAAAAAAAAAAAAAAAAAAAAAAAAAAAAAAAAAAAAAAAAAAAAAAAAAAAAAAAAAAAAAAAAAAAAAAAAAAAAAAAAAAAAAAAAAAAAAAAAAAAAAAAAAAAAAAAAAAAAAAAAAAAAAAAAAAAAAAAAAAAAAAAAAAAAAAAAAAAAAAAAAAAAAAAAAAAAAAAAAAAAAAAAAAAAAAAAAAAAAATCGTTTGGCGGTTGCATTGCTGGATTTCAATATTGCATACCCTTGTTGTTCGTTGATGCTACGTTTTTGAAGAGCAAGTACAAGGGGCAGCTTCTCTGTGCTTCCGGAAAGAATGGAAATCAAGGTATGGTTACTGTAATGTATTGCAGATTCCATTTGTTGCAATTTTTTAGCAGAAACTGCATTGCAGTTTCTTGTTTCATAATTCGATTTTCTTAATAATTTTTGTATGTCTGTGGGAATGTTGCAACTGCTCATGAACTTAAATGTGTTTTTAAACTTAGTTTTAGTACTTGGATCATGGATTTGCCTTTTGGTTTCCTTTCAAATTTGAGCAGATTTGTTTTCAAAAACTGCACTGCAATTTCCCTTTTTTGCTTATACTTGTGCTTTTGGTTTTGTTTTGCAGGGTTTTATCCTCTAGCTTTTGGAGTTGTTGATTCTGAGACGGAGGAGAATTGGACTTGGTTTCTTCAACATTTGGCTTCTATTTTGCTACCGATGGGGAGAGTGGTGACCTTTTTCTCGGATCGCAATCAAGGTTTGTTAAATGCAATGGGGTTTGTGTTTCCTGGATGGCCTCATTCTTACTGTTACTATCACCTCAAACAGAATTTGATATCGAAGTACCCGAAGTCAGGTTATGGGAAATCGCTCCAAGACCGTGTTATCAATTTATTTAGTAGGTGCGCATATGCTGTTACAGAGGAAGAGTTTACGGTAGCAATGGAGGAGTTGGTGATTGTTGGGAGTTCGAAAGTGAAGACATTTATATCTGATTTGTCTAGAGATCACTATGCGAACGCATATTTCAAAGGAATGCGGTATGGGGAGATGGCAAATAGTTTAGCGGAGTCATTTAATAATTGGGTTGGTGTGTTTCGAGATTTGCCGGTTCTACCTTTGATAGAAGGGATTCGACAGAAATTGATGGTATTGAATTCTCAACGACTAATTGAAGCGGAGAAGTGGACAACCATTTTGTGTCCGGAGATGGAAACTAGACTGTGGGAAAATGCGGAGGCCGGTAGGACTTGGGTAGTTCGTCGTTCTCACCCAAAGTCCCTCCGATCAAGCAATTCGAATATTTCATAAACCTTCATATTGCAAGTCAAGATGAAAAATCACCTTTATTCTATCAAGATCCCAGCAAATCAGTAAGAAGATGGCATTCCTCATGCTTTGGAACCTCTCAATCAAGTCTGAAAAAGAAACAGGGAGTACGTTGGCCAAATCAGGTGCCGGAAGGGAACTAGTAAACAGAAAGGGGGTGCCGGAAGTAGAATCGCTATTAAAGCATAATGTTTTCCAAAGACAAGTTGCAAGAGACCAAGACTCACTTTTATGCTATCAAATTAGATTTCTCATGCTTTATCATGCTTTCGAGCTTTTAAAACAAGAGAATATGTTAGCCAAAATCAGACGCCGGAAAGGTACTCATACACAAACGGATGTGCCGGAAGCATAATTTTCTCAAAGTGCAAGCAAACTCATCTATCAAGCATTTGACAAAATTCACAAGGTGTGATACCAATTCACATGCCAAGAAATTTCATTTCACTCAAGCATTTCAAGCAATTCGGGCATCTCAAAGCAAATTGAAGAATTCATGCTCTTACAACAATACCATTCCGCTTCATGCTCTCACGACAATATTGCTCAAGAACATGCTTTAGCAATACTCAGATCGGCACTCAATGCCAACAGAAAAGACATGCTAAATTCCCAAGCAAAAGCAACATGCCAAGCAAAACTTATACACAAGCTTTCCAACCATCCTAGCTAGAATATCCCACCTTTAGAAAATCACTATAAATCAAGCTTACAACCAACAAATCCCAGACTTCCCAGATTAGAACTAGACATATCAAGCTTCATTTTCCCAAAATTTCGTTGCATTTCGAGCTAGGGAAGCATGTCAAACAGATTTCTAAAACAGCCCATGCAGCAGAAACTGTACAGCTCCAGCACCTTAACCCTTACTTTGAAATTCCACCAAAATTCATTTTTTTCTTCAAGTGATGCAAGACCAATTCCAACATAACCATTGAGAAGTCCATTTTTCTATCTCAAAAGCTCCAACTCAGATTCGAAAAGAAACATTTCAAAAGTTCAAAAAACTGCCAGCAAGCTACTTTGAGATATTTTGACAAACACTTGGCATGCATACCCAAGTGAGCTTGTATAACTCTTGTTTATCACCAAGCTAGAATCCTAAATCAAAAGCTTAACCTTAGAATTCGATTTCTAGTTCACAAATTCTGGGAAATACAGAGGAACTCAAGCATTCAAGCATAGAAGACAAGCATGCAACAAAGGCATCAACATCAACTCATGAACATGCTTTAGAAAAATGGAGGCAGAGAGCACTAGAATGGGTGGATGATCCTCAATTTTGGATATGTTATAAACAACATAATTTCAAGCAAATTTGTGAAGCAAGCGCAATCATACGAGCATCATAAGTTAAAGACACATGCAGAAGAAAAATCTGCAAAAACTCACCAGCCATGGATGAATGCAGAAGTTGCAAACCAGCTTTGAGGTATCAGAAAAATTCAAAAAATTCTGCAAATTTTACTGGCTATAGTACTCGAGCAGATGAACAACTTTGATCAAGGAAGTTTTCTGATCCGAGCTTCCGAAATATGACTTATGTACTGATGCACAATACCCACGGGTTTGGGTCTTGAAGAAGAAGAAAGAGGAGAATGAGAGAAAATCATAAAATAAAGCATGCCATGCCAAATGAAAGGAAAAGAGGGTAGACACTTGCAAATAATAAAAAATTCAAAGGGAAGGGGCAACAAAATTTTGCCCATCTGAAGGCCAAGCCAGCAAGGAGACAACGTGCCCAACTCTCTTATGCTCTCTCAAACTCGTATCTCTTCTTCCACCCATCAATACAAGCATTTGTGAATCAATCCACGCAAACCATGCAACTCAAGCATTTCACTTAGATGCAATCATTTCAAGCAAACCAAACCAAATATCACAATATCAAGCTTTTCAAGCAATACAGTCATCATAAAAAAGGGCAATATTAGAACTTGGCAGTTCTAGTTGCTGGAAGCACATAGAAGAAGTCATGCTATCATGCCAAATTGTCCTCATTGCAACAAAGGGGTATCGTTTTTTCCAAAACACCAATATTCATTCTACCGGAAGAGTGAACCCTCATGCCAGATCAAGCTATATCTTGATTCAACTCAACCATTAGATTATCCAAGTCCAAGCTAATCATGCCAAGCCAAGTCACATTTTTTCCAGCACCTATTCCATGCCAAACAAAACCGTTTCCAGCACCTATCCTATTCCAAATATCCTTCCAGCACATGCCCTATTTCAAATATCCTTCTAGCACTTGTCATATTTCAAATATCCTTCCAGCACATGCCCTATTTCAAATATTCTTCCAGCACATGCCCTATTTCAAACATTCTTCCAGCACTTGCCTTATTTCAAACATCCTTCCAGCGCATGCCCTATTTCAAGCATTCTTCCAATATCTAGCCATCATGTCGCACGATATCACCTTCATAGAAGTTTTGGTCCGCTAAATTCAAAGTGTTCGGAGCTGGTGCTGTAGACTCAAACACAATGGTGAATCCAAGCTTATTGCATCCGCAACTCTAAGATTGGATCCCCACCATCCACTAGCACGTCCGGCTACTGTCAAATGACATCCACCATGCTAAATGTCCCAAAAGCCATATTAAACCATGCTACCTTAGCCAAAACCAAGCAAAGCCAAAATCAAGCGTACATGCCAATGCCAAGCATCCAGCATACAAGCCAAATCAAGCATACACGCCAATGCCAGCATCAACCAAATACCAAGCATACATGCCGACATCAAGCATACATGCCAATACCAAGTCAATGCAACTCTTGCAAACCCACAATCATGCAAAATCAAGCCTCTCTAGTCACTCAAGCGAATAAATCATGCAAGCTAAGTAGTTATCTTGAGCTAATCCACCAAGCATTTTCTTATATATCATGCCACCAAATAGGTCAACTTTTGGTAACTCCAGTAAGTGACCTCCAAAATTACAGTGTCTAGGAAAGTTCTTCAAGGCAACACCCTCGGTGTTAAGAAGGATTGGGTTTTAAGCGGGACCATTGCGACCCCTCCAACCTTCCCGGAAAAGACCTGGCTGTAATTTCAGAGAAGCTTAACTGGTCATCCTTGAGTTGCTCCTAAACTCATGCCATGCCATGCCATTGCAATTTATTTTGGGCTGAAAATTGATTATTTGGACCATTTCAACACACATTCATGGCCCCAATAATCAAGGGGGCTAATGTTGAGGCCCAAAAAATTCACGCTTCGGCCCAAATAAATTATCGGCCCAATGCGATACTTATCAAGAAGAAACCCGATTTAGGCATGCGAAAGTTCGTCATATACGCTTTGCACACATGCCACGCCAAACGACACGCCACGCTAAGCAAGGAATTATCATTCCGCACCTAATCACGCCACAAGCCTAGGTGGGCCCCAAGCCACTCAAAAACCCGGGGCTTGCTTGAGTGGGTTGTGGCATGGATGGTGATAAATCAACATGAGACCCATTGATGGACCGAGAAATGGAAAGTCTCGGGTTGCTTGGGAGCCTCGAGACTCAAGCCCGTTTCTTAGGCCCAAACATGTGGGTAAGCACAAGAGAGAAAAGTAGCCCAATACCCAAGCAAAACAACCCAACCAAAATAACCCAACCAAAAAATAAGCCCAATGTAGTAACAAGCCCTTTTGCTTAGGAAATCACCTTGGCCCATATAAAAACCCAAAATAGCCCACAAAAAACCTCAGCTTTTGGAGAAAGCAGAGGACACGTGAAGAGCAGATGGCAGACTCCTTAAGCAAAGCTGCTGGAAACCAGTCTCAAGCCAGAGACATCCAAAGAACCGATGAATACCATCCCGCATGCTGTCAGAAGCATCCCTTGGACCAGCATGTATTTTCACCTCTTTTCCTTCGTCAGATTCAGCCAAGGAAGAGGAAAGAAAAGAAGAAAAAACAGCAAACCAAGAGTGGAAGCTCCCATTGCACAGCCGCGGGAAAGGAGGATGTTGAGCCCCCAAATCCCCTGAATTCATGAAAATAGACAGAAGCAATCTTTGCCAAGAAAGGGAAGTCAGAGAAGGGGAGGAGAAAGGAAGAAAAGCTTAGCCAAAGTAAGTAGAAGCCATTAGGGTTTCTTGAAAAATGGTGATTTCCGGCAGCTATAAATTGAGCCTTCCCCTACCCAACAAAAACAACTCACAACCTGCAGAGAGCAAGCTTTCTCTCTAACTTGCAAAACTCAGAAGCTCGTGCACTGTTCATCTTCTTCTCCAATTTGTTTTTCTGGCAGCTGCCAGAAGAACTCTGCCTTTCTTTTTCCTCTTTCCCTAGTCGAATTCCTCACAAAACACCTCATTCCTTACTTAAACACTTTCTTTTCTCATAAACCAAGCCTAATTTCTCTCTTAGTGCTAAACCCATGTTGATTTTGCTCCCATGCCACATGCCACTCATGCCAAGCTGAAAAGTTTATCTGTAAGCATGCAAAAATACCTGCAAGCTGCCATTATTCTCGTTGGTGAAGATAACCCAAAATACTTCCTAAGGCTCTACTGCCTTTTCGAGGTATTTTGGGGCTTAATTTTCGAACTCAAGCTCAAGGGGCAATTTCTTCCATTTTGCCCTTTACGGCAGTCAGGCCCGTAGTAGCTGCCGGAAGAAAAAGCCCCTACATAAATTGGCGACTCTGCTGGGGATTAAGCCACTATCTGCACCAATGCCTCCAAAGAAGAAGAACAGAGCCAGTCAAAATCCAAACACCACTGCTGGAAGAGTCGCTGCCAGAGCACATGCTACCACCGAATCATGCCAAACTGTCACCGTTGCAACAAAGGGATATCCCAAGTTCATCATGCCATGCATAACCCAAACAAATACTAAGAAGGCCATGTTGCAAGAGTTTTTGTAGCCTGTGCCCATCAAATCCTTTTCTGATGATTATGGTGCACTTGGGGCTGAGGAAGGAATTCATTGCAATCACCACGGCAGTGATTCCAAAACCCCAAATGAGCTTAAAAATCCATTATTACCAAAACCACTATTCCCAGACCAAAAATCTCCTTGAAATCCCAATTATGTTACTATGATCTCCAAGTTCGCCATCACTTGTTGTAACCCAACACATTTGCTGCAGTGACCACATACAAAGCTCAAGCTTCAATAGCCAAGTCCAAGCTTTTGGTTCCTAAAACATGTTCACAACAGCTGCAACAAACAATACCTAAGTTGCCATAACTGATATGCTCCAACGCCTCAAGCACTTTCTAAGCCTTGATCATTCCAATGACCAAGTTTAGGAGTCAAAACCAAAAGGCTATCGGGATGTCTCAATTGCCACAATTCCATAATCAAGCATCATCAAGCCCCGGCCTTAGTCAAGAAATCCAAGCACTATGCTTTACTCAAGAAGGAAAACATCCCAATTCATGGCAAATGAAAGGAAAATATTGCGAAGGTAGTGTTATGATACTGCTGGAAGAACCTAAATGCTGTCAAGATGAAGTTTATTTTACCAAGCAATCAGAATTTTTGAAGCGATGTCAAGCTTTCAAGAAAAGGGGTGCTGGAAGCGTATTTTCCTATATTCATCCATTCTTCACCTGCAACATCCACCACTGCTTGCCATACTCTAAGGAAGATCTTACACGCCGAGATACATGACAAAACTCTAAGAGGCAAGCTATTGACAAGGACCCCTTGCCAAAACGAAGGGGAAAGTAGATGGCTACTGTCATTATGTGCTTTGATGACTTGCTCGACGACGACGTATTGTGCCACCTGTGAAAGAATGACCCAAAGCCACCGGAGGCTATGTGGGAACCTTGTGGAAATATGAAGAAGGCCAACTTGAGCAAATATTCAAAATCTGCAAGCTATAACACCCCATGGCTACTTGCTAATTGATGGGAGAATGGTTCCAGCAGCGAAGTATTCACATTGGACATGCTGGAAGAAAGCCACTCGGAGGCTTCATTTGGTCATCAAGATTATCAAGAAGCAGCTGTTGTAACCTCTCATAACTTCACAGAGGTTGAAGAAAGTACAATGGGTTAGGAGCTGCAAATCACTCTTTGATTAGTTTGGTTATGAGCTGCAGGCAAGCAAAGCAGCAACTGTGGCTCTGTTAAATATCTCTACAGAGCATGGCATCCTAGTACAACACATGCCAAATACATGCCAACCTAAGCCACAAGCTTTCATACTATTGCAAGTCATGCACGCTCCTTGGCCCTTTCATACTTGGGGGCTTAATTTGATGGGGGTATTTATCAATGCAAAATGGCTCAAAGCCTTACTACTGAGTTGCTTTTGCACCTATCCTTTTGTTTTTGGCTTTTCAAATTTATTTCAAAGATGAACTCCTTTTGTGTTTTCACCATATGTTTTCACAACTTTGGTAGAATGCACCACCATTATTGCATGCCAAGGCATAAACGATATTTGCAAGGAGAATGGAGTATTTTGGAAAAAGAAAAAAAAAGCCTCTAGAATTCTTTCCTTACTTTTATCTTCTTCTGTTTTGCAAAACGTGTTCTTTGAAAAGAAAAGAAAATAGACAAGCAAACTTCCCTTTTAAAAGCTAAGCCTTTTAGCAGTAACCATGCCAAGCAAAGTCACTTGAATGGGGTCCCGAACCATCAACAAGCATCACGCTTAAGCAAAAATAGCATAAGGCACGAGAAACTGATCTATTCCAAAGAAGCACGCAATCTTGAGGTGCTGGAACAACATTTGGGAGTTTTATAAAACCTTGGTAAGAATCATGCACATGCTAGTCTGGCCCTTTTTAAGGAAGGCAAGAAGCTGCTTTTCAAACCCAGAGGCTAGATAAACCATGCAAAAGAAACTTTAGAAATTCCGCTCCTGTCGAAATTTTGGCAGCATATACCTTGTTTTTAAGGATATCCAACCTGTCAGAAAATCTCAAACAGTTCACAAAGACGTGTTTTGCCAACCAAGCTGTATATATGAGACATGCGAATTACAACCTGCCTTCAGCATTCAAAAAATTAATACAAGCTTCAGTGGTTCAATGCCAAATTACAAAGTCATAACAACGTAGTCGTTAGAATGTCAAAAGAAAAAAAAAACTACAGTCAAAGCACGATAAAACTATACATGCTAAAGATCCATGCATCCTATAGTCTCAAAGGAAACAGAACCATGTGATGATTTCATGCTATGTGTAACACCGCCATCAAAGAAGGCTTTGAACGCCATGAAGGAATTCTCCCAATCTTGCCAAGGCATGATTTTCTCCGATAAATGCCCTACGGAGGTGGAAGCATCACCGTCCTTATGGATGTCACCAATAATCTCACCACGAGGGGGCACTGCCGGAAGCCGTGAAGAGGTGCCGGCAGCTATGTCGGGTGTGCCCAGGCAAGGAGAAGTTGGAGGCAGCACTGCTGGAAACTGTGGAGAGGTGCCGGCAGCTATGTCGGGTGTGCCCAGGCAAGGAGAAGTTGGAGGCAGCACTGCTGGAAACTGTGGAGAGGTGCCGGCAGCTATGTCGGGTGTGCCCAGGCAAGGAGAAGTTGGAGGCAGCACTGCTGGAAACTGTGGAGAGGTGCCGGCAGCTATGTCGGGTGTGCCCAGGCAAGGAGAAGTTGGAGGCAGCACTGCTGGAAACTATGGAGAGGTGCCGGCAGCTATGTCGGGTGTGCCCAGGCAAGAAGAAGTTGGAGACAGCGCTACGGGAAGCTGCGAGGAGGTGCCGGCAACTGTATCAGGTGTCCTAAGGGGAGGGTAAGGAAGCGTACCCTCCGCCCCTTGTGAGATGCTCTTGACCTAAAAGAAAAAAAGGAGTTCAAACAAATATGCAATTTCTGACCCAAGTTCGTGACAAACAAAGTTCTCATCCTGTGACTCAATAAGCATGACAAGCAAATTCTCCTTCAGAACAAAAATCAAGCATTGCAAGACATGCATTCCTACTTCTCGCAACCGAGAACAAAGTTTACAATTAATCAAGCATATGTTCACAAGGGGAGTAAGCCTAGGCCATGCACCAGTCTATGCTTATTCCTGGAATATTCAAATTGGCGGAGTTACTTACCAAAAGATTAAAGCAGAAGCCCCAAATATCCAAGTTAGAAGGCTGAAGGATTTGAAGGTTCCAGCAGCAGAAACGTCAAGGTTTCCAGCACCTGCCCCACCTATGCCTGAGATGTGTGCACACTGCACAACAAACAAAACAATGGTGCTTTTCTCAAAGCTTTCAATAGCCTCTAATCCTATGCATTAATCATACGATTACAAGCATGCGCTCGTGATGCATATAGTTCAACAACAAAAAAGCGGGTCAAGAACGCGGCACACGCAAAATATACGCCAAGCAGGGCAAGTCAAGCTCAGGCCAAAGGAAACACTTAAGCAAATACCCAAGCAGCATACAATTTATCCATGGCAAGCGAAATTTTCAAGCAATTTCCATGACAAGCAAATTCTTCCTCAAAATGCAAAAAGGATTCAAGCATTGCAGAGCATGCACTCTATCAATTTCTATTTCCACAACATGGGAGAAAAGTCCAAATTTATTCAAGCATGCGAAAAACAAGCCTAGGCCAAGATATCAGTCTATATATATTCCTACAGAGTTAAAAGGAAGGACCTGAGATTCCAGTGAACGAGCAAAGCCCATGGGCATGAAGAACCCAACAAGCCCCTCGATAGATTCAAGAAATTGCAAAGAGGAAAAGGCATACCTTGTCAATCACCTCAAAGGACGACCTCAAATGCACCAAGAAAGAAGGGATGTTGGTGCTGGAAGAAGGGTAGTTGGTGCCGGGAGAAGGGTAGTTGGTGCTAAAAGAATATCGTATCTTCTATTTCACGTTACCATCTCCTTCAGCACCATTGTTGATCTCATTATTTATGCAACCAGCTGACCCATCATTGCAATTATCCCCGTGTGTTTCTGCGCAGACTTTGGCACCATCATTATTTTCAGGCATACTTAAGAATTGGTCTTTCTGAAGATGGATACTTCGGCAACTAATACTTGCAAGAACTTCTTCTCATGGCTATACGACAACTCCTGAAAAATCACAAGCTTTATTCATGCAATTGCACTACAGCAAAATTTAAAGCTTTTCAGATAAAACATCTTGCGAAAGGCTTATGGGGGCTTAAGAGAATCCATCATAGCAAACAGCACATGCAAACTCCAAATGACTTGGGGGCTTCATGCCAAGCAAAAGAGAGAGACAAGAATCCTGAAGCTGTTGTAAATTTCAGTTTTCCTCTTGGAGGAAAGCAAACTGTTTGTTACTTATTTGGAGGAAAACAAGCTGTATGAATCTCTTCCAGCAACTCGCTTAGCCTCTTCCTTCTCATCTTCAGTCTACTTCTTCCAAAGATCTTCTTTGAAGCAAGTTGCAAAAAAAAAAATTTACAAGCAGGCCTCTACTTTGTTTCTCGACCCTGAGTAAGCCAAAGAGAATATAACCCAACTCTGCAACCAATTGCTGACCTCAACAAGCTGACTTGAGGGCTTCATGCCAAGCAAATTCAAGGAAGTACACCATGCCATCCAAACAAGCAAACCCATCTACCTTTTTTGCCACACAGTATAAATCATCTCTTTGATTACAACAAGCCTAGATAATCTTGCATTATGGTGAGAAACAGTTTTCTATTTCCCCTTTTTGAAACAAGCCAAGTTACATTCTTCAAACTCCTACTCTACAAGCAAAGAATTTTTGGCGCTTGCCTTATTTCAAATCTTCTTAGCCCCTGTCCTATTTCAAACATCATGCTAGTAAAATTTATCCCACAGCAACAGTTTAACAAACTCATCACATCTTTGGAAGAAAACTCAAAACGGCCTCAAGAACTAGCTTGTTCTCTTTCTCACCCAAAGTCCCTCCGATCAAGCAATTCGAATATTTCATAAACCTTCATATTGCAAGTCAAGATGAAAAATCACCTTTATTCTATCAAGATCCCAGCAAATCAGTAAGAAGATGGCATTCCTCATGCTTTGGAACCTCTCAATCAAGTCTGAAAAAGAAACAAGGGAGTACGTTGGCCAAATCAGGTGCCGGAAGGGAACTAGTAAACAGAAAGGGGGTGCCGGAAGTAGAATCGCTATTAAAGCATAATGTTTTCCAAAGACAAGTTGCAAGAGACCAAGACTCACTTTATGCTATCAAATTAGATTTCTCATGCTTTATCATGCTTTCGAGCTTTTAAAACAAGAGAATATGTTAGCCAAAATCAGACGCCGGAAAGGTACTCATACACAAACGGATGTGCCGGAAGCATAATTTTCTCAAAGTGCAAGCAAACTCATCTATCAAGCATTTGACAAAATTCACAAGGTGTGATACCAATTCACATGCCAAGAAATTTCATTTCACTCAAGCATTTCAAGCAATTCGGGCATCTCAAAGCAAATTGAAGAATTCATGCTCTTACAACAATACCATTCCGCTTCATGCTCTCACGACAATATTGCTCAAGAACATGCTTTAGCAATACTCAGATCGGCACTCAATGCCAACAGAAAAGACATGCTAAATTCCCAAGCAAAAGCAACATGCCAAGCAAAACTTATACACAAGCTTTCCAACCATCCTAGCTAGAATATCCCACCTTTAGAAAATCACTATAAATCAAGCTTACAACCAACAAATCCCAGACTTCCCAGATTAGAACTAGACATATCAAGCTTCATTTTCCCAAAATTTCGTTGCATTTCGAGCTAGGGAAGCATGTCAAACAGATTTCTAAAACAGCCCATGCAGCAGAAACTGTACAGCTCCAGCACCTTAACCCTTACTTTGAAATTCCACCAAAATTCATTTTTTTTCTTCAAGTGATGCAAGACCAATTCCAACATAACCATTGAGAAGTCCATTTTTCTATCTCAAAAGCTCCAACTCAGATTCGAAAAGAAACATTTCAAAAGTTCAAAAAACTGCCAGCAAGCTACTTTGAGATATTTTGACAAACACTTGGCATGCATACCCAAGTGAGCTTGTATAACTCTTGTTTATCACCAAGCTAGAATCCTAAATCAAAAGCTTAACCTTAGAATTCGATTTCTAGTTCACAAATTCTGGGAAATACAGAGGAACTCAAGCATTCAAGCATAGAAGACAAGCATGCAACAAAGGCATCAACATCAACTCATGAACATGCTTTAGAAAAATGGAGGCAGAGAGCACTAGAATGGGTGGATGATCCTCAATTTTGGATATGTTATAAACAACATAATTTCAAGCAAAATTTGTGAAGCAAGCGCAATCATACGAGCATCATAAGTTAAAGACACATGCAGAAGAAAAATCTGCAAAAACTCACAAGCCATGGATGAATGCAGAAGTTGCAAACCAGCTTTGAGGTATCAGAAAAATTCAAAAAATTCTGCAAATTTTACTGGCTATAGTACTCGAGCAGATGAACAACTTTGATCAAGGAAGTTTTCTGATCCGAGCTTCCGAAATATGACTTATGTACTGATGCACAATACCCACGGGTTTGGGTCTTGAAGAAGAAGAAAGAGGAGAATGAGAGAAAATCATAAAATAAAGCATGCCATGCCAAATGAAAGGAAAAGAGGGTAGACACTTGCAAATAATAAAAAATTCAAAGGGAAGGGGCAACAAAATTTTGCCCATCTGAAGGCCAAGCCAGCAAGGAGACAACGTGCCCAACTCTCTTATGCTCTCTCAAACTCGTATCTCTTCTTCCACCCATCAATACAAGCATTTGTGAATCAATCCACGCAAACCATGCAACTCAAGCATTTCACTTAGATGCAATCATTTCAAACAAACCAAACCAAATATCACAATATCAAGCTTTTCAAGCAATACAGTCATCATAAAAAAGGGCAATATTAGAACTTGGCAGTTCTAGTTGCTGGAAGCACATAGAAGAAGTCATGCTATCATGCCAAATTGTCCTCATTGCAACAAAGGGGTATCGTTTTTCCAAAACACCAATATTCATTCTACCGGAAGAGTGAACCCTCATGCCAGATCAAGCTATATCTTGATTCAACTCAACCATTAGATTATCCAAGTCCAAGCTAATCATGCCAAGCCAAGTCACATTTTTTCCAGCACCTATTCCATGCCAAACAAACCGTTTCCAGCACCTATCCTATTCCAAATATCCTTCCAGCACATGCCCTATTTCAAATATCCTTCTAGCACTTGTCATATTTCAAATATCCTTCCAGCACATGCCCTATTTCAAATATTCTTCCAGCACATGCCCTATTTCAAACATTCTTCCAGCACTTGCCTTATTTCAAACATCCTTCCAGCGCAGGCCCTATTTCAAGCATTCTTCCAATATCTAGCCATCATGTCGCACGATATCACCTTCATAGAAGTTTTGTCCGCTAAATTCAAAGTGTTCGGAAGCTGGTGCTGTAGACTCAAACACAATGGTGAATCCAAGCTTATTGCATCCGCAACTCTAAGATTGGATCCCTACCATCCACTAGCACGTCCGGCTACTGTCAAATGACATCCACCATGCTAAATGTCCCAAAAGCCATATTAATCATGCTACCTTAGCCAAAACCAAGCACCCAAGCATACAAAGCCAAAATCAAGCGTACATGCCAATGCCAAGCATCCAGCATACAAGCCAAATCAAGCATACACGCCAATGCCAAGCATCAGACAAATACCAGCATACATGCCGACATCAAGCATACATGCCAATACCAAGTCAATGCAACTCTTGCAACCCACAATCATGCAAAATCAAGCCTTTCTAGTCACTCAAGCGAATAAATCATGCAAGCTAAGTAGTTATCTTGAGCTAATCCACCAAGCATTTTCTTATATATCATGCCACCAAATAGGTCAACTTTTGGTAACTCCAGTAAGTGACCTCCAAAATTACAGTGTCTAGGAAAGTTCTTCAAGGCAACACCCTCGGTGTTAAGAAGGATTGGGTTTTAAGCGGGACCATTGCGACCCCTCCAACCTTCCCGGAAAAGACCTGGCTGTAATTTCAGAGAAGCTTAACTGGTCATCCTTGAGTTGCTCCTAAACTCATGCCATGCCATGCCATTGCAATTTATTTTGGGCTGAAAATTGATTATTTGGACCATTTCAACACACATTCATGGCCCCAATAATCAAGGGGGCTAATGTTGAGGCCCAAAAAATTCACGCTTCGGCCCAAATAAATTATCGGCCCAATGCGATACCTTATCAAGAAGAAACCCGATTTAGGCATGCGAAAGTTCGTCATATACGCTTTGCACACATGCCACGCCAAACGACACGCCACGCTAAGCAAGGAATTATCATTCCGCACCTAATCACGCCACAAGCCTAGGTGGGCCCAAGCCACTCAAAAACCGGGGCTTGCTTGAGTGGGTTGTGGCATGGATGGTGATAAATCAACATGAGACCCATTGATGGACCGAGAAATGGAAAGTCTCGGGTTGCTTGGGAGCCTCGAGACTCAAGCCCATTTCTTAGGCCCAAACATGTGGGTAAGCACAAGAGAGAAAATAGCCCAAAAGCCCAAGCAAAAAACCTAGCCAAGAGATAACCCAACCAAAAAATAATAGCCCAAATCAAGAAGCCCAACAAGCCCATTTGCTTAGAAAGCCACCTTGGCCCTATAAAAACCCAAAATAGCCCACAAAAGACTTCAGCTCTTTTGAGAAAGCAGAGGACACGTGAAGAGCAGATGGCAGACTCCTTAAGCAAAGCTGCTGGAAACCAGTCCAAGCCAGAGACATCCAAAGAACCGATGAATACCATCCCGCATGCTGTCAGAAGCATCCCTTGGACCAGCATGTATTTTCACCTCTTTTCCTCGTCAGATTCAGCCAAGGAAGAGGAAAGAAAAGAAGAAAAAACAGCAAACCAAGAGTGGAAGCTCCCATTGCACAGCCGCGGGAAAGGAGGATGTTGAGCCCCCAAATCCCCTGAATTCATGAAAATAGACAGAAGCAATCTTTGCCAAGAAAGGGAAGTCAGAGAAGGGGAGGAGAAAGGAAGAAAAGCTTAGCCAAAGTAAGTAGAAGCCATTAGGGTTTCTTGAAAAATGGTGATTTCCGGCAGCTATAAATTGAGCCTTCCCCTACCCAACAAAAACAACCCACAACCTGCAGAGAGCAAGCTTTCTCTCTAACTTGCAAAAACTCAACAAGCTCGTGCACTGTTCATCTTCTTCTCCAATTTGTTTTTCTGGCAGCTGCCAGAAGAACTCTGCCTTTCTTTTTCCTCTTTCCCTAGTCGAATTCCTCACAAAACACCTCATTCCTTACTTAAACACTTTCTTTTCTCATAAACCAAGCCTAATTTCTCTCTTAGTGCTAAACCCATGTTGATTTTGCTCCCATGCCACATGCCACTCATGCTGAGCTGAAAAGACTATCTGTAAGCATGCCAAAACTATCTGCAAGTTACCATTATTCTCGTTGGTGAAGATAACCAAAATACTTCCTAAGGCTCTACTGCCTTTTCGAGGTATTTTGGGGCTTAATTTTCGAACTCAAGCTCAAGGGGCAATTTCTTCCATTTTGCCCTTTACGGCAGTCAGGCCCGTAGTAGCTGCCGGAAGAAAAAAGCCCCTACAGCAGTTTTAGTTGCTTTTGAAGTTAATGAAAATTATACAATTGTTTCATGAGTGGATATTCGTTTTTGACTGCCATTGAATGCTTGTTTTCAGATTTGACAGATTTTGTTGCAGAAACTGCACTGCAGTTTCTGTTTATTTGTTGCAGATTTTGAACAGAACTTGTCCCATAATTCAATTTCAGAATACTTTTTGCTAGTCTATGGGAATGTTATAACTGCTCATGGAGTTAAATGTGTTTTGATATTAGTTTTAGTACTTTGATTATGCCTTTACCTTTTGAGCAGCAGTGCAGATTTTGACCAGAAACTGCAGCGCAGTTTCTTGTTCGATAATTCAATTTCAGAATAATTTTTGCAAGTATATTGGAATGTTACAACTGCTGACCTACTTAAATGTGTTTTGATATTAGTTTTAGTACTTTGATTATGCCTTTACCTTTTGAGCAGCAGTGCAGATTTTGACCAGAAACTGCAGCGCAGTTTCTTTTCGAGACCAGAAACTGCAGCGCAGTTTCTTGTTCGATAATTCAATTTCAGAATAATTTTTGCAAGTATGTTCTCATATACCATAACTAGAAATATTTACAAACATCCACAAGAATTAAGATACATATTGTCTTGAGTTAACGAAAGGCAAATCACTAGAGACGATTAATTACACAGTGTTTGTGGTGTAGGAGTTTTGTGACATATTGTGCTCGATATTCATTCATGAATTTCTTGTCCACACTTTTTGGAATGGGCTGTCCTTGTGCTATTTTATCCATGTAGAACATGACGAACATGCCGCAATCCAACCTGCAAATGAATACGAGATTAGCTTTTGGTTTTGAATGATTTCAAATTGTAATGAATGGTTGAGTAGACACAATTCTTACGAAGATGAATTTTGTTGAGCACATTCTGTGTCATCCTCAAATGGAAACTGATATGGATTTTGCAGAATCCAATTTAGAGTGAGTTCTTCATTTGGGGACAAATCAACCTGTGCAGGTGTAGGGGGCCCTTCTTTTTGCTTCACAAGTTTTGGTATTTTTTTAGTTTCTAAGAACTCTTGTGCTTGTGGTCTGATATATTCTAGCCACCCTTCCACAATATTAACCTGTTTAAAGAAGAAGAAAAAAAGAGAAAAAGAAATGGTAATCAGTGCATTGCATATTATAGTTTTGGTCCGAAATTAAGCAGTACATATAATACAGAAACTGCATTGCAGTTTCTGTTTGTGTTTGTGCTGAGAAATTAAGACAGTTTCATTCCACTTACAAAATTTTGAGCAATGTCAATACACTTTTCTTCTTTTCTAGATCCCAACGATCTAAGTGGATTGTAGTGTCTCCACTTTCGTTCAATTTTGTGAAATGTGAGAAGTGTAAAGTGGAACTCAGAACTTGAAATGATCGGGAAGAAGAGAACATTGCATTTCCCGAGTTTTTCAAGTAAGTGTTCATACAGGGCCCTATGCCAATTTGGTTCTAGAAAGGTTTGCATGTAAGCCTGATATCATTGAATGGCAATTTGTTAGTATATATTTTTCGAAAACTGCAGTGCCGTGTCTGTTTAAACAACTTTGAATTTTCAAAATAATTCTTACCCAAGTCCATGTAGACATGTACTGTGGACTATCTGTCTGCATGGGCCCTATTTTCTCCTCCTCTATTTGGATATAGGCCTCAATAACCTGTTTCACATTGATTAGAGAAAAATGGAATTATTAACGGGTAATAGTAGCACAAATAAAAAATGCAGTGCTGTGTGTTATAGAATTAGTATTTTATACTTACGTTTTGTGACAGTTCCAGGTCCCATACAATATCTTTGATATCATGGTTTGTCACTTTCTCACTATCGAGTCCTGCCCAAAAGTTATCACTGCGGATTCAAATACATGAAATTCACAAGATTAGTTTTAGTTTAATTGTAATTAAAAGATGAAAGAGTTGTTCTTTTGGAATAGAGATATTACCTAGGTTGAGTACTTAAGTAGTATTCTTGAATTCTGTCCCTGTCCTCCTTTGGAATTTTCTGCCAAACCTTCTTTTGACCCCATCCTAGTTTTTTTCTTTGTTGGCTTTTTTTGTCCTTCATCTTCATCATTTGATTCTTGCATACCTACAAGTATTGAATCATGAAGGCTCGTTCCTTTTGGGGGATCAGGAATTGGATTTGTGGCATCGGGCTGAGATGCCTCTTGTGTTAACTGCAGATTGAAAGGAAACTAATTAGAAACTCCATTTGATAAAACAGAAACTGCAATGCAGTTTCCGTTTCTGTAAAGCAGCAGAAAACAGAAAAGCAGCAGCTTGAACTGCAGTAATTGCATACCACCTTCTGATTTTGAGGATCCTCTTGTGTTGATTGCTCCTCGGAAGAGATAATCTTGAATTGTGGTAGTTCTTCATCATCCTTTTTTGCCTTCTTTTTTGGTTTCTTATTTTTTTTCGTACACATAGCAAGATGCTTGAAGCCTCTTTCTTTCTCTATTCTTCAGCCTTATACTCTTGAAGGAACATCAGGTGTTGGAGCGTCTTGCTTCTCTTCTTCTTCTTCTGCTTTCTCTTCTTGTTGCTTCTCTTCCTTCTTTCTCCTCTCCTTTCTTGTCTCTTTTCTTCCTTCTTTCTTCAATCTCCTTTTTCTTGGCAATCTTCTCCATGTCAATCCGAGTTTCCTTGCCTTCCAATTCTGCAATCCTCCTTTTTAGATTTTCTATTTCCTGAAGCTGAACTGTAGATTCCACTGTCATGGTGGCAGTCACATATTCTTCATTATCTAATTTCTCTACATATGTTGCCAACTTCTCTTCCAGCTCCTTTGATCTCTTTTCTCCCTGGATAAATATATCCCACAATTCCTTCATTTTCTTCTCACTGTCTTCATTTTTTTCATCCTTCCACAGTTGTAATCTTTCTGGGCAAATGAAGCTAGGATCTTGACGTTGGTGATAGTTGATTTGGTCTGTCATGGACTTCACCAAGAGGTCTTGAATTGCATTCTCTTCTGCTCCTCTTTTATTCTGGATTTGCATTTATTTTTCCTTGGTTTCTGCTTCCTGCTTCTCTTTGTTGTCCTTCATTCTTTTTCTTTTTTCTGCATCTTCTTTTTCTTGTCAAGAGGGTCTCCCTCTTCTCTGGTAGTTTTTCTCTTTTTATATGCTTTCAAAATACCCTGTACAATGAGATTGAATGATTCAAAAACTGCATTGGATAAAATAAAAACTGCAATGCAGTTTGTGCTTTCACTAAAATGCAAAAAACAGAATATACCAGAAAATATGCATCAACTTGACATGAATTGAAAGATCAGCATAGCCAAAACAAGAACTACAAAACACAACAGAAACTACATAACAACATGGCGTGAAATGAGCAACATTCAAGAAGCACAGAAACTGCAATGCAGTTTGTGGTTCACTGCAATGCAAAAAACAGCATATACCAGAAAATATGCATCAACTTGACATGAAATTGAAAGATCAGCATAGCCAAAACAAGAACTACAAAACACAACAGAAACTACATAACAACATGGCGTGAAATGAGCAACATTCAAGAAGCACAGAAACTGCAATGCAGTTTGTGGTTCACTGCAATGCAGTTCACAGAAACTGCAATGCAGTTTCTGGTTCACTCAAATACCTTGTCAACAGTGTCTTCCTCTTCCCTGGTAGTTTTTTTCGCTTTTTAGGAGTTTTGAAAATACCCTGTACAATGAGAATGATTTAGCATGAATTCACATTCAAGATACATTAAAGTAGAACAACATGCGATAAATTGCATACCTCGATGTCATTCAAGTCCGTTATTTGGTTGAATCTTGTGTGGAGTTCCACAAGACTCCATTTAAGAATGGCAGGAGTTTCTTTCTCTTTGCCCAGGATTGGTTGTATTATGTTTGTCCTCTCACACAGTAGAAACTGCACAGTTCAAAAACAAGATATATCATAAATTAGGTTGGAAACTGCTTAGGATAAAACAGAAACTGCATTGCACTAAAGGGAAACTGCATTGCCTAAAACTCAAAATGCATACCAATATTAGGATAATGCAACCCGAAACAGCTCCTATAGAGCCTTCTCCTCCCTTCTTTGCTTTTGCTTTTGCTTTTGCGACCAAGGATTCATTCATGTAGGCTGAAACAGCACTTGCCCAAGAATAGCTTGAAAGTGTGTCCAGATTCACACAGTGCTCAAATACTTTCCAATGCAAAGTAGACGAAGCGTTGGCAAAAAGGAATGTCATGCATAGGTGAATCAATATTATGCTGACCACCTCCTTGTCGTAGTCAACTTCTTCTTCTTCTTCTTCTTCAGCTTCTTTCTTTTGCTCTGCCTTGGCCTTTTCTTTCTTCGGTTGGTTTGCCAATGAAATTGTCTTCAGTAATTCTGCTTCTACCAGATTTTTTGATGGTTTTCCCTTTTCTCCAAAGTGCCTTATTCTGAAGGTAGAAGTGTACCTATCATTGACAAGTTTGACAGATTTTCCTTCATTTGGCAGTCCTAGAATCTGAGTCACTGCATTGCCTGTGATCTTGAATGCTTCGGTGCCAAATTTGAAGGACTTTGTATCCGGATCAAACTTCTTGAGCAGCTGAACTAAGTCAAGGTCTGACTTATTCATGTTATTCATGTCAATCCTTCGGTTGTAAAACACCTCAATCAAGTTCCAAAATGGGGTGTTTCTTGAGAAGCTTCTTCTGCCTTTCATTCAGCTTGTCTTTTACATCCGTAATGATGCTGTTGAAAGCGTTGACATTGCACCGAAATTGGACATAATCTGGGTGCTTTGCTTTCCGATCATAGTTTGGCTTTGGCTTTGGCTTTGATTTACTCTTTTGAGCCATCATTTTGAATCTTCGCTTTGGTTGGTTTTGAGCTTCCTCCTTTTGTGGTGACATTTTCTTGTGCCATTTGTGATCTGCAACAAGAAGGGATGAAAAATTATTAGGACAAGTAGAGATAAACTACAAGCAAACGTGGGCCGCCGTCCCCGGGTACAAAAAAAGGGATGTCGAAAATAAAAAAAAAAAAAAAAAAAAAAAAAAAAAAAAAAAAAAAAAAAAAAAAAAAAAAAAAAAAAAAAAAAAAAAAAAAAAAAAAAAAAAAAAAAAAAAAAAAAAAAAAAAAAAAAAAAAAAAAAAAAAAAAAAAAAAAAAAAAAAAAAAAAAAAAAAAAAAAAAAAAAAAAAAAAAAAAAAAAAAAAAAAAAAAAAAAAAAAAAAAAAAAAAAAAAAAAAAAAAAAAAAAAAAAAAAAAAAAAAAAAAAAAAAAAAAAAAAAAAAAAAAAAAAAAAAAAAAAAAAAAAAAAAAAAAAAAAAAAAAAAAAAAAAAAAAAAAAAAAAAAAAAAAAAAAAAAAAAAAAAAAAAAAAAAAAAAAAAAAAAAAAAAAAAAAAAAAAAAAAAAAAAAAAAACCTCTGATTTTGTTAAGGAAACTTAAGGGATGGTGCCATTTCATTAGTTCCTTCCATTTGAAAGGAGGGCAAATGTTATCATATTGGTGGTTGCCACTAATGTGATAGGATTTTCCATGACATTATACGTTGAAGTCAATAATGTGTTTTCCTTTATTCTTGTTGTTGATTGGTCTGAATTAGCTGTCTCTACTTGTATACATTCCATCCTATGTAATCTCTTCACTGTCGTGATTATCTGCTGGTTGTTGGCGATGGTTTTGGTTGTAGATATTTAGTCATTTGTCAATGATCCTGAAGGTAAAGACTTATCCTTGTGAGACAGATTGAGTGAGAGACAAGTAACTTTGCAGACAATGAACAACTGCGTGAGAGACAGTATTTTGCATTTTTTAGGAAGCCTTGTGAAGAGAAATATCAGACGCACTGGAAATCTCAGGCAACTCTCTCTTTTCTCTCTTTGCATCCATGTTGGGTATTGTTGAAGGGGGTTCTTGAGGTGAACGAGAGTGTTGCTTCCGTGAAAGCCTCTTTCCCTTCACCAATCTCTCATTTCCTCTCTTTTCCTGTTTCAATGGCTCTTTCTCTCTTCTCTGCTCTTTCAGGGCCTCAAAAACCAAATTCTGTGGTTTACGGTTCCTGATTTTTTTCACATACTTCCTCCCTCATTCTCAAATCTCTCACATACATCATTCCGCTTTGTTTAGGTTTCTTCTGCGCTTTCCAATTCTGGTCTGTTTGCAAAACGGTGAATTCTAATGTAGGGTTTTGTATTGTTATTGACTTTTTTTGTCTTTTTGTACGGTTTTGATTTGAAAAGTATAACTTTCACTACCTGTGACTGATTTTGTGTAAGTTTAGTAATTAGAGAGATTGCAAATTTCTTATTTTACTGTGAATTGCCTTCATGCTTGGATTAACTTCTATGTCTTATTGCTTTTCATGCTATGGATACTCAGTGTCCTCACGTTGTGCTATTTGTCGTGGTAGGAGTGGTTCGTTTGTGGATGCGTGTTTTCAGTTTCATTTTTATATGCTAGTTGTGTGGAAATTTATTGTGGGTTCATGTGCTGTAATTTGTGTTTAATTTTTCCTTAATATCCTATAATAGGCCGTTGAATTGTGTATTCTTGTTATTGTCCCAGATTGCAAACGGACTGAATTTTTTCTTAATAATAATGCCCGGGAAACTGGTTCGCCAAATTAAGTTTGATGATTGTAGAGGAAGAAAATTTCCAAGGAAAAGCATTGGCGCTATCCCCATAAAGAGTGCAATAAGTACGATAAAAGAAATTCATGAGCAACAGCTACGAACCTTCGAACAGAGTTGTTGTGGGGCATCTCCTACTCATCGAGGACCTGAAGTGGACGTCGCCAATTGTACACGGATTGTTGCTGAGGAAAGCTGATCCGAAGACTGTTTCCCAAGTGAACGGGATCAAATTCATTGTTGGCAATAAGGTGATCCAATTCACACCCCAGCAATTTTGCGTCGTCACAGGGCTAAGGTTTGGAAACCTTCCCTTATTCCGATTCCCAGTAATGACAACTGCTCATTGAAAAGGAAGTATTTTGGGCAACAATAAAACGTGAGCCTGTTGGAATTAGAAAAAGCCTTCCGCGACTGCGCTGATGCGGATGATGCATTGAAGCTCGGCTTTGTATACTTCGCTGTGTTTGTGCTGTTGGGCAGTGAAAAACATGTCCCCATTGACATGCGATATTTGAAGTTGGCGGAAGACCTTGAAGATTTTGGTAAATATCCATGGGGTGCTGTGTCTTATGCGAAGACAAATGCGTCACTGCTGAGGGCACTGTGTGCAGATTACCAGCGAGTGAAAGGGCCGAAAAAAGCTTCGAAAACAAAAAAATCTGAAAAGCAAGTAAAGACAACGGCAACCGGTAGACCCAAGAGAGTACCACCTAAAGGGGTTTGCCTTTGCACTTCAGGTGAGCACATTTCGATTCCTGTTGAAGTTAAATATCATTTGTTTACAGTAATGGGTTCTAAAACAGTAATGGGGGAGAGAGAGAGAGAGAGAGAGATTGAGAGCTGCATTGGAGGAGCTAAAACATCATTTGTTCATGTTTTATTTTCTGTAATTATTACTTATTTGGGGGATTGATTGGTTTAGTTGTTGAAGGATGAAGACGAATAAAAGGAACTCTGTCCACTGTTATTGTTTTTTTGACAGATTCTTTTGACTAATGATATTGTGTTTGTGTGTGTGTGTTGATAGATATTTTGTGTGAGAGAGAGAGAGAGAGAGCGAGAGAGAGAGAGAGAGAGAGAGAGAGAGAGCAAATTGGGTGGCTGTTCTGGGCGGCTGTGGTATTTAAAAAAAGAATTCTACAAAGAAATATAATAATTTGCAAAGTTAAAAATTGATGGGAAAGGGGAGAAACATTCAAGGGAGGGGGTCAGGGGTAGAAGGGAATTCAAGAATAGAAAATGGACAGAAGGTTTTATTTTATTTAATTAGTAATATTATTCTGTTTTTGCTGAATATTATATCATTAATATTGATGATGAGCCCCGTGTTTTTCTATCAACAACCCTAAGTTAACACTAATGACCTCATTATAGAAATAAGTTGTCAGAAAAACAAGTTTACATTTTCACCCCTTTATGTAAGTGGGGGATATTGGATATTAGGAAATAATCTGTTTTTCCTGATTTGTGTTGAATGCTCTTAGACTAATGACTAATGTGGCCCGAACCACTTTTAGCCTCTATGCATCTCTAGATGGCTGTATTTCGTTTAACTTTTGTCAATCATAGGGCAAGGTTTAGACTGCAATTAATACATGCTAATTATTTCTCTTTATTGTATTCTTGGCTTTTCATGCCCTATTTAAGGTTATAGCATGTGATCTCTAAGGCTTTTCTTCCTGAAACCAGATTTGGGCTTATGAGGTATTTCCAGCGTTGGCTGCACTACATTTGGTGGTGCACGAACATAATGCCTACATCCCTCGTATACTACATTGGAGGAGCAACACTTTGCCGCGTTTTTATGAGCTCATGAGCCAAGTCTTCGAAAACCGTGAGGTTAGTTCAGTTTGTAATGATAATCTTAGGCATATGAAAATATAATTTTATAAGTTTACTGATATTTCTATTGTCTGCGTAAATTGCAGGTTGATGTGCAACTTATCCGGCCATCTGTAATTGACAAGCAGCAGGCGTATTGGACTTGGGGTGACAGTGTTGACAACACTGAAGAACTTGTTGAGTTGGTTGGCGATGACGCTGAACAAAAAACCAGCACGTCTGCCTCTGTAGAAGAAAAAGATGAGGACATTGAAGAAACTGCTAGCCTTCCGTCGTCTTCTAAGGCAAGCATTACCTATTTTCCAATATTCCAATATATATGTCATAATACAATAGGAAATGAACTGCTGTTTTGTTCCGATATATTTTGGAAATATTGTAACACTTGCATTATAACTGATTGCAGGGTAAAATGGCGTCCACTGAGTTACGCACTTTGAAGCGTGACTTTGAAAGGATGAAGGATGAATTCGCCAAAGTTGTCAGTTCAAATCGAGCGCTTCACAACAGAGTGCATGAGTTGGAAGAAATGGTACGGAGGGAGTCATCCAAAGTTGAAAGAAATAACAAGTGTGTGGAGGATTTGCGCAACACAGTGGCATCAATGGAGCATTATTTTAAGCTGGAGCTAGAGCAGCTGCGAAAACAAGATGGTGGGGTGAAAGAAGCTGGGGAAGGACATGAGGACCTCGATACTCCTCATATGAATGAAGGAGGTGACAATGAATTGTCGCCATTACATGACAATGTCACTCCGCCCACAAAATCGGCAGCAATGGCAACACAAGTCCCCAGTGATGGAGCCGAACCTTCCGCAGCCATGGTCACTCCAGTTCCTGACTTACAAGTGCATGAAGCAGCTGCGCATGCACAATCCGAGAAGCTGCCTACCCCGGAAGATGTGGCCGGGTGTGACGAAATCTGCCAAAGACTTATGTTTTTGTTAGAAGATTGGAAAATAGCTGACAGAGTGCCATCGGGAGGTCCGATGAATCCTCCAAGTATACCTACAATTAGTATGGCTGCTGATGAAGAAGGTAGTTTGAGTGTTGAAAAAAAAGAAGTGGAAGGTAAAGGCTGTAGACAGAAGCGCCCGGCCCAGACATTATTAAGTCCATTTACTGATCCTTTGAGGAAGAAGAGGACAATGAGTGTGTCGGATGCGACTGCAACCCCGCCATGTTTTGATCCATCAAAACCGCTGCCCATTGAAGATGTGAAGGCAGTAATAGATTTTTGCACTGCCTGGAAAAACGATATCAGGTTCGCATTCTTGACCTTCGAAATCCAATTGTCATCCTATTAATATGCATGTGTATATTTGTCATCAACAAAGTCAGATTTATGAGATGAGTACAAACGTAACCGTTCCAAGTTTGCCTTTTCTAGTGTGCAGGTGCAGCTTGAAGCATTTTCAGTGGGCGCTGATTTTTTCTACAAACTCATCGATGAAACGGCATGGATTAGCTCAAGGGTAAGAATACACAAATCTCTACTTTATTATGATCATTCAATTGTTTTCTCACCTTTTTTAAGTGTACAATTGTCTGAAAATGTGCTGATATTATATGTCAACTGTCAGCACCTGGAAATGGCAACCTTTCTTATCCGGAAACGGCAACTCTCTCATCCGTTGCTATTTGGAACCGACTGGACAACGGCAGATTATGCCTTGCAGGTACACTTTTTACCATGTTACATTCACTGCTTCATTTGCTTTCCCTCGTCATTATGTCATATGGTTTCATTTCAATGTCTGCAGCAATTTCTAGAGCCGTTAAAAGCGACTGGCAAGACACGTGGATCGAAGAAGGCAGCAGCTTCAAACACCAGTGACCTTCCAGCCAACAAGCTGAAGAATGTACATCACTTTGTGCACGGTACGTGGCAACACGGGTATGCCCAAGCTTGGAAAAAAGTCCGCAGAGTGTATTTTCCATATAATCTTCGAGAGTCCCATTGGGTTGCAATCGAAATTGATTTCGTCCGACATACTGCAACTGTGTATGACTCATATGTTGATTATACCAAATCTTCGAAGCTGGTTACACTTCTGCAACCTGTTAGCGATACGCTTGCACGAGTGCTGTACAATATGAAGTTTTATGAAGATTCTGAGGTTGAAGAGGTGAAGCAAAAGGGGCTGCAGATGTCGAGGTTTACGCCTTTCTCAGTTTGCATCATTGGAGGTGTGCCACAACAACGAGATGGGTAAGAATTGTGAATTTAGTTCATTTTTTCAAAATTTTACATAAATGCAGTTGTAATTTCCCAACTTATTGGCCTCACAGTACGTCTTGCGGAATCATGACCGTTCAATTCATCGAGCATCTCAGTGCTGGGCTTTCGGTGCATAAAATTGACCCGTCGAAGATCAAATATTACCGACTGAAGCTTGCAATAGAGGGGTTAAGGGGGGAGGCATATTTATGAGGTAAATGTCTTCATGTGTGTGAATTGACTAGGGTTTTTATGAGTTTGCATTTGGTCAACTAGGGTTTTTATGAGTTTGTTTATTTATTTAGGAGCTTGTGTCTTGTTGCTGAAAAAATTGATGGATTTGTGTTTAGGAGCTGGTGTGTCATATGTGTAACATGAAACCACTGCAAGAAATTTTCAATAAATTTGGTTTGTTATACCCGAATTGTCTTCTTAATCTGCATGATTGTTCTGGTTTTTATGAGCTTCATTGTGTTCAATTTCAGTTTTACTTAATTGCTGTGTGACGTGGTTGAAATGGGTTTTATCCACCACTTTCTCTACATAAAGTTTTTAAGTTTGTTTAGATTATTAAGAATTAAAATTTTTCTTGTTTGAATATTTCTTTAGCCTGCTGGATTGACACCTGTTATATTGATAGTTTGCACTGATCTGGTTCGTGGTGCAAAGGACAAGAGGCTCCGGGTTAAGGGACCCGTGAGAATGCCAACCAAGGTTCTGCACATTACCACCAGGAAGTCTCCTTGTGGTGAAGGTATGTTTCACTGTGAAATGTTCTTGTTGTTAACTTATGGCTTTATGGGCAAGGCTTATGGCTTTTATGGCCATTTAGTCAGAGTTTGGAGCTCCCTTGTTTGTGCCAAGTTACATAAGTAAAATTTGTTGCTTATTGTAGTTTATTCATAACTGACCAGTTATTGAAGTACAATGTCTCTGCATTTGCATTTTAAAGGGTTATGTATGTATCTTTAAAATTGTGTTTGTGATTTACAGGTACCAACACATGGGACAGATTTGAGTTGCGTGTCCACAAGAGGGTGATTGACCTCTTCAGTTCACCTGATGTTGTCAAGCAAATTACTTCCATTACAATTGAACCTGGTGTGGAAGTGGAGGTTACAATCGCAGACTCTTAAACTGGACCCGTTTTCAGTGTAGCCTTCCTACTTTAAAATGAGCTTGTTTGTTGTGTTCTAATCTTGAATTTAAAGACTTGGTAGTGTCGTTTGCAATTTTCTTGAGCTGTTGTTTGATATGATTATGCACTCCCATGTTTTGATGTTAAATAGAAGTACTTTAGCGTCATTTCCTTCCCATTGATGCTCACTGTGGAACGGAGAAATGTTCTCCTGTTATACTTTATTCTGGTTGGATTGAGATTCCGATTGTTGTCGTTGAACCCAAAAAAACCTAAACCTGTTTCATAATTTTTGTTTCTGGAACTCCCATTCATAAACTCTATCTATGTGTGTCATATGTGTGTGCCAGTTGTTTTTGCAGGTCCGTCTCAACCAAGTGTTGATTGCAATATTCTAAAGAAGATGACCATACACTGTTATTTGATGTAGGCATACGTATGAGATGGCTTAGCTTGAATTGGTTTGGTTGTTCCAAGTTGTATGTACACAATCTCAGAGTCAGTACCGAGTTGGTTTACATTTCATGTATTTGTCCGTGGTTTTTTTCCCCCAATATTATGATTATGGAGATGAAGTAAATATTAATGTGGACTTTATAGCATGTTTAGTTTCTTTTATGGCCTTAATTCTGTGAGAGATGCCCTTATGATGTCAAACAAACGGTTTTGACATACATGTTTTGAAATAATTGAAATCACACCGTTTATTATTATTATTATTATTATTATTTTTGTTTCCTGCTCGG